CTGCAAGGGACTGCCCCTCAAGCAAATACCTAAAAGATTAAGGACAAATTGATTGGCAAGACATTTGTTAGAGTGGTGATGAGTTTCATTTATTTTGCCACAATCTTTAATCATTGCAACTGGGCACTTTAGAAAAATCCAAAACCTAATATAGTGGAAAGAGTATGACATTTAGTAAGGCAAAATTTCCTTCAAATTCTAGCCCTGTCACTTATTTGTGCCTTTGAGCCTCTTTGTTCACCTTTGAAATGGAAATACAAATATCAACTCTAAAGTGTTGCTGTGAAAACAAAATGAAACCATATGTGGTGGAATAGGTACCCCAACTCATATAGTCATGAAAAGCCAGAACTTATAATCAAGATTTAAAATCAGTTAATCACCTGTTGTTGGAGGAGAGGGGTAGGTGTTAAGAATCTAAACGTGGGACTTCCCTGGTGGCGCAGTGGTTAAGAATCCGCCTGCCAAATCAGGGGACACGGGTTTGAGCCCTGGTCTGGGAAGATCCCACATGCCACGGAGCAACTAAGCCCGTGCGCCACAACTACTGAGCCTGTGCTCTAGAGCCCGTGAGCCACAACTACTGAGCCCACGTGCCACAACTACTAAAGCCCATGCGCCTAGAGCCCATGCTCCGCAACAGAGAAGCCACAGCAATGAGAAGCCCGCGCACCGCAATGAACACCGAAAACAGCCAAAAATAAATAAATAAATTTTTTTTAAAAAAAGAATCTAAACATATATAATCTTTTATTTGGAAAACTTATTAGGGATGATTACCACCCTGTATTTTCTTAGGAGGGAGACAGAAAGATTTGCACAAAAAAATTGTTTGTTCAACTTTGATGGAAGGTAAATCCCTTTAGTTCTCACTTTGTTTTAAAGATCAGGGAGGGCTTCCCCGGTGACGCAGTGGTTGAGAGTCCGCCTGCTGATGCAGGGAACACGAGTTCGTGTCCCAGTCTGGGAAGATCCCATATGCTGCAGAGCGGCTGGGCCCATGAGCCACAACTACTGAGCCTGCGTGTCCGGAGCCCGTGCTCCGCAACGGGAGAGGCCACAGCAGTATACTGCAAAAAAAAAAAAAAAAAAAAAAAGATCAGGGAAAGTTCCAAACTTCTTAATCATAGATTATTTATAATCTCTTTCTTTCATGGAATCTTTGAGATCCAAGAATGTCTATTCTTTAAAGTTAAACACAAAATAATTGAAGATTTGAAAATGGACAGGATGTTAAAATTATATTAGATAACAATATACTAGTTTTGTAAGAAAAGACTTTTTAGGAGATGCACGCTGATGTATTTAGTGCCGAAGTTCAATGCTGTTTGCAACACTGCATGGTTCAGAAAAAAATTATATATAAATAAATAAAAATTATATAAATAAAGCAAACATGGAAAAATGTTAATTGTTGAACTTAGATAGTAGGCATATGGGTAATGTTTAAAATTGTTCATAGTAGAGCATTAGAGGGAAAAGAAACAAACAAGAGGTTGCGTTTAGGGACTGTCCCATGTGAAATTTTCCATTTTTTCCGTTTCCACTCATTGCATAGATGGTTGAGGTAAGGGTGGTTAGAATAGAAAACAGCTGGAGAAATAACAGTATATTCAGCCACAAGTCAACTAACTAAAAGACAAGCCCTACAAAACTTTTGAAACAATGTTATGTCACTTACAGAGTCATTCAGCTATATAAGTCAGTAACTGAAACAACATGGTTTTAACAAAGAGATTAGCCTTTCCAATGGACCTAATCTAGGGACTTTATCTAGGGATATTTAGGGACCACATTTTGAAGACATTAAGGCAACTACAGAAGAAAATAAGTAATGCAGTCCCTCTGTTTAGAACACAGATCATCTTAAGAACCACGCTTCATATGCTAATAATTAATGCTTATCTGTAAATGGGTATATTGATCTTAAGAGGTGGCATAAGAACAAAAAGAATCATATAGGAAATAAGCCAAAGTGCTACACAATTTTAAAGTGTTATTACAAGATGAATAAAGAAATCAAAGGACTGCAAGTGAAAAGAAGACAAAAAGAGATTTTACAAAACTGGAACACAAAAATAAATGAAAAAAATTAAAAAACCCAAGAGACCAAATGAAATCATTTCTTGAGTTAATTTACTAAATGTCTCACAGCATATAAGCTATAAAATACTACTCTCTGCATCTTTTTTTTTTTTTTTTTTTGTAGTACGCGGGCCTCTCACTGTTGGGGCCTCTCCCGCTGCGGGGCACAGGCTCCAGACGCGCAGGCTCAGCGGCCATGGCTCACGGGCCCAGCTGCTCCGCAGCATGTAGGATCTTTCTGGACCGGGGCACGAACCCGCATCCCCTGCATCAGCAGGCAGACTCTCAACCACTGCGCCACCAGGGAAGCCCTCTCTGCATCATTTAAGAAACACCTGCAGTTCTTTGGTAGAGAATTTCTTGGAAGGCAGGATCTGCAGTTCCCTCCAAATATCCCAACAGAACTCCACCGACTTCTAAGAATGTTAAGGGAGTGATCTAAAACATGCAAAATGTTTAACGTCTTATGATGCATTTACAATGTGAACATCTGTGTGACAGAATATTATTCAGCAATTTCAATGTAAGTAGGAAGAGTAAAGCACAACAAAGAATGTTAAAGTAAAAAAATAATAATAATAAGGAAATGAATAAGTAAGTACACTTGTGACTATTAAAAGACTAGTCAGGGGGGCTTCCCTGGTGGCGCAGTGGTTGAGAGCCCGCCTGCCGATGCAGGAGAAACGGGTTCGTGCCCCGGTCTGGGAGGATCCCACATGCCGCGGAGTGGCTGTGCCTGTGAGCCATGGCCGCTGAGGCTGCGCATCCGGAGGCTGTGCTCCACAACAGGAGAGGCCACAACAGTGAGAGGCCCGCGTACTGCAAAAAAAAAAAAAAAAAAATTAGTCAGGGATACCAAAGAGACAATTATAATGAGATGTTGGAATTCTATTTCTGTTTCCATTTTCCCACTAGTTCTACCAGAAAAAAATTTTTTAAATTATCATTATAAAGGAATGAAGGGAAAAGAACGGTAAGAATGCCTTGGCTGGAAGGCCACTAATGAACAATCACATACAAAAAGCCCTTAAGATAATACCTAATGTGGGATATGAAAAAAGATGTTATAAGCAAGGTCACCGTCCTCAACAATTAATTGTCTCTGCTATTTTCACCCTAACAGCAATCCATGCAAAGGCACCCATTCATCCCTTCTTTCCAATGGTGGGTCCTAAAAGGTATCCATCTAAGAAGTGCTGCCAGTAATAGCATTCTTAATTGTGACCTGCCTACAGACATCTTATCCTCAGAGGCTTTTTAGGCCTGAACTGACATGAAATATACTACTTCTCTGGAGGTTTTTCTGTTTAACTGTGAAAGAACAATGTTGTTAGATTACTCATCTTTTAATATCAAAATCATAAACTCAAACTCACTCACTGCTAATGCATTTTAGAGTGTTAGGGAGTCGCCACCTAGATAGGCTATTTTTTAAAAATTTTTTTTTAGCTTGCTTGTTTGAAACTCACAAAGCATTTTTTCCTAGAAATATTATAGTAAAAAGGTAAATGGATCTGGCCACCAAAGCCTCATTTCCACAATCTCTCCCTCAATTTCCTGGTCTAAAAGACTAATGGCTATTAGGATGCTTCTTATGCTTTCCAGGAGCCTCCCATGCAGGCCTCCATTCCTATCACGGAATTTTCACGAGTAAGGTATTTGTAAGTTGGGAAATGCCTTATTAACAATTTAAGATTTTACCACCTAAAACCTACTAATCATTTTTACAACACTGATAACATTTGATTAACTTAAACTCTAAGTGAAAAATGTTTTTTAGCAATCAGCAAATTAAAAACAAAGGGCTAAAAGCGAGTTCTAAAATGTCCTTACAGTGTGTGACCTCAAACATATAAAGCAAGATGCTATTTTAAAATATGTTGAAAAGTTTAAAGATGGATGAATTTAAATTTAATCCTTTTTGTAAAAAACCAAACAGCAGTCTATTACCACTGGGACTAAGCACTGAAAAACTAAGTTATAAAACAAGGACATGAAACATGACTACAATTTAAATTCTTTGGATTCTTTATCTTCTAAGCCCCCACTTTTAATACAGAATTAACTTTTCCAACCAATTAAATGCTGTGCTTTTCCAATTAAGCACAGCATCATTATTTAACACTTCATATCTCAAAGCTGTACTTTAGGAACATTTTATGAGTTTTCAGTTATCAAGAAAGCTTCAGAACGAAAAAGTGGGAGTTAAAAGATAAAACAGCTTCAGATAGTACAAAAGATAAGACAGCTTCAGAGAGTACCACAGTATAAATACTGGAACAAATACTGGGTTAGAATTTTGTTTTTTGACTTTATGTTTCCTCTATTTTCCACAAAAACCTTTTAGCATCTGATAATTTCATCAGCCCTTCTGTTTTTTTTTAATTGCTTTTTAATTTAGCCTAATAATTTTTTTTGGCTGCGTTGGGTCTTCGTTGCTGGGCGCAGGCTTTCTCTAGTTGCGGCAAGCGGGGGCTACTCTTCGTTGTGGTGCACGGGCTTCTCATTGCGGTGGCTCCTCTTGTTGCAGAGCACAGGCTCTAGGCGCATGGGCTTCGATAGCTGTGGTTCATGGGCTCTAGAGCGCAGGCTCAGTAGTTGTGGCACACGGGCTTAGTTGCTCCGTGGCATGTGGGATCTTCCTGGACCAGGGCTCGAACCCGTGTCCCCTGCATTGGCAGGCGGATTCTTAACCACTGAGCCACCAGGGAAGCCCCAGCTCTTCTATATTCAAACTAGTAACCTTTACTTCCCATCATGTCCCAGATAAATGAGTCCTGAGATTTCCTAAAGGGTGGACCTCAGTTACTGAGTCCCCTTTATAAGGCAAATATTCATTTAAATTTGTTGGAATAGGGTTTTATGCTCTAAACCGAAGTTTCACTGGAGTGGTTAGGATGTTCAAAAACATTCTTTCCAAAGCTCTCTTTGGTCCATCCAGAACAATCAGAATGGAAGTTGCAGAAGAACTGGAGCATCTATCAGTCATATTTGGTTCTGTCTGTCAGGGGTTCCTCCTCGTAATGGGAAATGATTTGAATGAGAATGGAACAGTTGATAAGGAGGAAGAACAAACCAGCTAACCAGATAAACAGAAAGGTGTTCTTTCCTTGAAACTCAAGAACATAAGCAGGAGCCAGCCATAAGGCCTGCCCTATGAACCATAACATCAGGAGAACCACAGCTCTTCTCCAAGGCATTCTCACTAGTGGCATCACAAGAGGCAGGAGGCAGAGGTACCAAAGAAAGTACTGGGAGGTGCAGACTTTGTTAAATGTCACAAAAATAGACGTATGAAGAAAACAACAAAAGGCAAGGTCTCTGTAATAAGCGAAAGACACGGCTGAAAGTAAGATGAATTGTGGCAGGAATGCAGCAATTCCCAGGGAAAAACTCCACTTGCTCTCTGCGGTCAAATACAGCATGTAGAAGTATGGTGAGAAGTTGTGACGGATATCCCGCCTGGTCAGGTGATAAAGGTAGGTGTGCTCCAAAAACTCCCAACCATATTTGTAGTAAAAACCGAAGCTCAGGGCAAAAAACGTGAGTCCAGCAACGGCTACGAAGAGCAGCACAGCCCGATTACACAGCCTCTTCATGAATTCATACAGACGAGCCTGGGAAGAATACCGGGATTGACGGAGGCCTTCGTCACTGTCGCGTTCCGGAAGCAAGTGGAGTGCTATGGGAAGGATATAGGTCACCGGATACATCTTCAAATGCACTGCGAAACCATAGAATACAGCGGCACACGCGACGAGCCTTTTTTCTATTAGGTACAGGGTCATAAGCACCAGGGAGGAGACGATTGAGTCCGCATTGCCTCGGCTGGACACCGCCATAGGTAGGGGGTTAAGAAGCCAAAAGACACAGTAACCGCAAGCCTGGCGGCGACCCAGCCCCTTAAGAAGCAGTAGCCGGTATACGAGGTAGGCGGTGAGGAGGTCGAAGCTGACGAAGAGAAACTTTCCAAAGAGTTCATTGAGATAGATGTTGGGAGTGAGGAACCACCCCAGCAGCGGAGTGTAACGGTACGTCGCCCTCAGGTAAGGGGAGCGCCCTTCCGTGACGAAACGCGCGGCGTCGGTGAAGACCTGGTAGTCGATGTCTGTATACCTCACGAGCAGGGTCCGGTCCTGGAAGAGCCCATAGAAAACCAGGGCCACTCGGGCAAGGAAGGCCACACCAAATACCCCGGCGGGGGACACCCACAGGTTCAGGAACCACTCTCCCGAGGGCGTGGTCGGGCTCATGATCTGACTGCACCACAGCAGCTCAGTCCCCAGCTCTAAACTGCCTTGGAAATTCTAACCCTCGCTGCATGCAGTTCCTTGCTTCAGGTTGCCGGCACTACCCCTACCAGCTAGACTGCCAACCGAAACAACTGCGGGACGACAACTTCCGGCAGGAAGGCCCGCCCCCGTCCTGTTTCCGGTCTCACGCAAGGCACTGGGTTCTTAGTGGCCCCAGCGGGAGAATTACCTTCCTTCTGGACAGGCTATCTCGCGTCCTCTCCACATCCGGCGGGGGCGGGGTTTCCGGTCCGGCGACTTCAGTTTGCCCGGAAGACCGGCGCTGGGAGGTATTTTTACCGAGCCGGGCGAGTGTTACTTGTGGGTGACCCTCTACTTCCCCCGCCTCAGCTCCAGTTGATGGAGACTGACCCCTGAAGCGGAACGAGCTTCGAGCTTCATCCCTCAGGCCTGGGCCGGTGACCCGAGAGTGAAAAAAAAATAGGAGTGAAGGAAAAATAAACCTGTGATGGTTTCTCATGCTTTACCTCGCCAGCTCGTGGGTAATACCGGGGGGGGGGGGGGGGGGGGGTGTGGGGGGCCGGGGGGGGGGGCCGAGCTAGGATAAATTGAAGGGGGCCCAGAGTGTGTGCGATATTTGGGACATACTTGTATTTTGAAATTATTCGTTGTTTATCTAAATTTCAATTTAACTGGGCATCCTGTATTTTATCCCGCAAACCTTGATGGAGGGATGGGAAGGGAGAACAGGAAGCTTCGTAGGGTTCCTAAACTATATCACGCCGTCATGCCTCAGTGTCATTGTACTTGCTATTCTTTCTGTCAACGTTACCTTCCCCTCCGTAGTCACTACGTAACCCTTCAGGCCTCGGCTCAAGTGTTAACTCCTAAAAGTATATCCTGGCTCTCAGCTCACTTTTTCATCATGCACTGCGATATAGATGCCTTTCCGCTAACTGAGGGTAAACGAACAGAGGCCGAAGGGCTCTAAGCTCTAGAAAATCACTCACACAGAAGCCCCTGCCCTTCTATGTAAATACAGAGTCCTGTCCATTGACTGCCCTCCCATTGCTCCAAAATTCCCTTTTGGAATGACCATCCCTATATTATAGCATTTGTCAGTGATAACTTTTTTGTTTCATTTTCCTAGTTTTCTGTCAGGGCATTTTGAGTTCTTTGAGAACAGAGATTATCTTGTTTTCTGTACCTCAGTATATAATACATTACCAGACACAGGAGGCATTCTGTACAAGTTGAATTGATTTTTGAGGTTCCTGTTACCAGGATACCTCTGGAGTGGCATCTTTGGGGTGCTCCCAACTCCCAGTCCTTTCCTCTTTCAAATATCCTTTATCTATTTCAAGTTCTTCCCCCTTCACCCATCCCACTCCAACCTTACTCCCATGAATTTCTCACCAAGGACTCTAACCCATTAGCTCTTTCCCTTCTGTGGGCACTTATTGAACTTACAGTCTGCAATTCAGAATTTCATAATTTATTTTAGATTGTATTCATAACCCTTTCAATGAGATTGTAGGGTTTTTGAGGTTAGGGGTTATATCTTATCCTTAATTTTTAAAAATTACTCATAATTTATTGCAGTCTTAGGCACATGGTACATGTTCAGTAACTACTGACTTACTTGGTTTTACAGATTGATCCTGCTTCCTAGGGGACGTCTTCTAAACTAGCATCTACTAGAGTAGATGACTCCATCCAGTCTGAACATGCAGCTCCCAGGACTACCCTCTATTCATCCATCATACAATTTACATTCATCCTTTGTATGAACCAAGTTAATCTCACACATTCCATATTCATATTCTGATATCTCTTTGTCTTTATCTGTACCTTGGTATAAGTATATGCCTATGTTGATAATTACTTTTAACCATTTTTTTTGCAGTACAGTAGCCATATATACAGTGGCAGCACATCATCATTCAAATAATGATGATGATGATTTCTTTTTTTAAATGCTATTCTCACATTTAGAAATCAAATCTTAAAGATTCATGAAAGCTATAGTTTTTTTTTTTAATTTACTTATTTTATTTTTTAATTTATGGCTGTGTTGGGTCTTTGTTGTGCACAGGCTTTCTCTAGTTGTGGCGAGCGGGGGCTACTCTTCATTGTGGTGCGCGGGCTTCTCACTGCGGTGGCTTCTCTTGTTGCAGAGCAGGGGCTCTAGGCACGAGGGCTTCAGTAGTTGTGGCTCGCGGGCTCTAGAGCGCAGGCTCAGTAGTTGTGGCGCACGGGCTTAGTTGCTCCATGGCATGTGGGATCTTCCTGGACCAGGACTCGAACCCAGGTCCCCTGCGTTAGCAGGCGGATTCTTAACCACTGCGCCACCAGGGAAGTCCATGATGATGATTTCTAATAGCCAGCTTTGTTGAGAACTTATTTGCAGTGTGTCAGTCACTGTGCTAAATACTTAACCATGTGAGGTAGATATTCCCACCTTCACAAATGAAATCAAGGTTTATGGAGATTAAGTAATTTTCCGAAGTCACATAGTCAACTAGTGGCAGAGCTGGAACTCAAAAGCAGGTCTCTCTGGCCCAGAGTATTCTTAACTACTATGTGGCTAACCTGCAAATAAAATGTTGATGATGAATCTAATTTCCCTCTCTGCCTCCTCTCATTGATCTCTTGTTTGAATCTTTCTGATATTTTCTGTCACTGTGATTCTATATATTTATTCTTTTCTTCTGCCAGTGATAGATAAGTGAGGGTTAGTCCCAGAAAGTAGAGAATATGGGAGGTAGATGTCAGAGGATTAATTAAGTGAGGGTTCCTCTGGTTGGGTTGGTTTAGGTAGTATGACAGGCCTCAGCTAATTTGTCCCTATAGAGCCTACCTAGTAAATTGGTGAGAGGCACCAAATTTGGGCAAATAAGGAAACAGTAAGCAACTAATCAAAAGAAACGAAGCTTGGATCAAAATGAGATGTAGATAGTGTTTGTGGGACTGAAGAGGGGACGGGAGTCCAGTAAAATTAACTGGACGTGGTGTGCCAACTACTGTTACTATTTCTAGGCGAGACAGAAGTATCACGGGGTCTAAGGACGCCATATTGAGCTTTTTGCATTGGGTGTAGGGGTTCTGTTTTCTCACTTCTCCCTGAAAGGGCTGCATTTTTTCAAATGCTCAACTGCTCATTACCTCTTGAATTATTACTTACAGCCCTTCCTCATTCTCCCTTTCACTGTCTGTCTCTAGGTTTCCATTCTTTCAGAGCCAGTGGCTAGGGAAGGCACACACATGCATACCTCATCCCTAGCATCCTTAGCCAGGACCTTGGCCTTGGTCACTATGCCGTATATGCTGTCATTACCTTTTTAGATCCATTCGCCATCTCTTCTGCCCTGTTCTGTGCATCATCACACAGTCTCCCTTGCCCTCTGGCTTCTCATTAGAACAAGCCAGTGGCAGGCACTAGCAGATCTTCGGCAGTGGCTGAGTTCCTCTACCTAAGGCCAAGGCTCCTGCTAAAGCTGTAGCCCTCTCCCTTCAGAAACTCTCACCAGGTTTCAATGATGGTCCCTTCAGCTTTAATACCGGTAAAGGCTTCCTACCGTTGCAAGTCCCTGGGTGTTCACAAGCCCTTGTTGGTTTATTGACCCTGCCAACACCTTTGTAAATACTCCCTTCATTAAGTCCTGTCCAGTTAGCCCTTTGAGTGTACCATCTGCTTCCTGCTGGCACTGTAATTCAATCACCTTCTTTTTTCTTTTTCTAGATCTTGCTTATATTTCCTGCTTTGTAATTTCTTTTGAATCTATCCGTAATTCTTTTTGGGCTCAGCATCCTGCACCTTAGTCCAGACTTCAACAACTCAATTTGATAACAGTATTGACACCTGTACTCAACTAGGATCTGTGGCAATTACCTTTCCCCTAAGGTTTTGCAAGTCTCTTAACTGGTTTAGTGTCTCATGTCTCTCAGTTCTACTGCCAGATTGTTATTCATAAACTACTATAATTAGATGCTTTCCTTTCTCAAACATCTTCAATAGCTCCCAAGCCTGTGGAAAAAAATAATAATTTAGACTGACATTTAATCCCTCCATGACCCTGCCTTTTCAACCTGTTCACCTAGAAAGCCCTCTGTTCTAGGTTTTTTCAATTTAATTTTTATTTTATATTGGGGTATAGTTGATTTACAATGTTGTGTTAGTTTCAGATGTACAGCAAAGTAGTTCAGTTATACATATACATGGATCCATTCTTTTTCAGATTCTTGTCCCATATAGGTTATTACAGAATATTGAGAGAGTTCCCTGTGCTATACAGTAGGTCCTTGTTGATTATATTCTAATATAATGGTTAGATGGTTAATCGCTTAAATATGCCTTTTGCTTTCTTACTGTGGTACTTTTGCCTGTGCTGTCCCACCTACAAAGAATCCTATTTCTCATCACTTATTTGTATACTGTTTGTCTCTCAATGCTAGGCTCAAACCTGAACTCTCTGGACTCTTCCTAAATCTTAACTAGTGGAAATGATCTCTCCCCAAAAACGCTGGTGTTTATTGTCTGTTCTATTTTTTTAAACAGTTAATTTTGTCATGCCTTATGAAATATGTTGTCTAAATCTTTTACAGTTATTTAACCAATATACCACCTCCACTGCATACTACCTGTGTGAACTGTAGGCAAATTCCTTCCCTCTCTGTTTTCTTCCTTTCCTTCCTTCTACATGTATTGAGCATCATACATGCAGGTGCTGTGCTAAGTGCCCAGCTGTACTGGTGACCCAACACTGACAGGAATCCCAGTTACAGTTACATGGCACTTAAACTCTAGTGAGTGAGGCAGACATTAGTCAAATAAATTCGCAAGTAATATAAACTTGCATCTGTGACAGGTGTAATGAGAGAGGGATACATGATGCAATCACAGCTTTTAACAGGGTTTGGTCTAAGATGGGCATACTGAGAGTTAACTTGGGAGTTGGCAGGCAGTACAGAGAGCTCCCCAGAAGGAATAGCAGGTATAAAGCCAAAAAAAACCTGTATGTACCTTGCTGGCGTGTGTCATGTCTTCTGTTTCTTTGTCACTTGAATGGTACATTTCATGTAATAGGAACTCAGTTGATTTTTCTTGAATCCTGTGTCAAATGTGTTCTAACCAGACCTCTTAGATTGATACCATCCCTTGCCTAGTGCCTATCCCTGGGGAATGTTTTCCACAGAGATCTCACTGTTTAGAACATGTTGTTAATGGCATATCTGGCCCTAATGTATGCTACTTGTTATTTTATCTTATTTTCTTCACAAGTTGGCAAGTTTCTTCATATGTTATGGGACTCTATATTTCACATATCTTATATATCTCTCATGTCCTATGACTCATCCCTAAAAAACAGTGTTTCCCAAATGTTGTAGATAAGTATTTACTGATGATGGTAAGAGACCCAATTTTCTCCCTCTGCCCTTCCATTTCTGGGGAACAAGAGTCAGTGACCATAGGGGTCTGTTACTTCAATTCAGGGCTGGATATTGATAGCCAGGCCTTTTTCAGGCTATTGATAGATAAGAGTAGAAGAGAAACCCACTTCTTTGAGAACTGGGCCAGGAAATGCCCAGTGATTAAATGAATAGGCATATAGAGGCTTGAGGATATATAAGGAACGACCTGCACTGTAGTGTGGCAGGGAAGTTGGGTGCATGATCACTGGCTGAAAGGGACAGTGCCTGGGTTCCAAAGCAACTTGACTTTCCTGGATTAACCTGAGCCAATTTTCAGATGTCTAGGTCTTAACTTTTTTTGTAATCCTTTAAAAACTGAGTTTAAAAGGTATTTGCTACAGGACTCTGAAGTTAATGGGGGGAGGTGTGAGAAGGGAGTTGGGGGAATGCATGATAGCACCAAAGGGGAAAGGCCTGGCTATGTGGTCAGAAGCTCTTCCAGCACAGCTCAGTTCCACCCTCCTTTCCCAAAGGTAGGTCAGTGAGTTCAGGCCTTAGTAACAGGATTAGTTTTGTTTTGTTTTGTTTTGAACTTTTTTTTTTATTATTTTTTTTCTTTGGCTGTGTTGGATCTTCGTTGCTGCGCGAGGGCCTTCTCTAGTTGCGGCAAGCGGGGGCTGCTCTTCATAGCGGTGCGCGGGCTTCTCATTGCGGTGGCTTCTCTTGTTGTGGAGCACGGGCTCTAGGCACGCAGGCTTCAGTAGTTTTGGCACATGGGCTCAGTAGTTGTGGGTCACGGGCTCTAGAGAGCAGGCTCAGTAGTTGTGGTGCACGGGTTTAGCTGCTCCTTGGCATGTGGGATCTTCCTAGACCAGGGATCGAACCCGTGTCCCCCGCATTCGCAGGCGGATTCTCAACCACTGCGCTACCAGGGAAGTCCCCAGGATTAGTTTTGATTTCTAAAAGAAGCTAGAGTGAAGAACAGATTCAGCCATTTTATTTAGTAACTTGTTCTGAACAGACAAGAATAAAATAAACCAAAATAACTCACATGTCTTTTTTCCTAGGTACATTTGACCTGGTTTAGTCTTTAATGCAATGAATGGAAAAACCATCCCTAGATATTTCTGCTTCAGTAGAGTTGGCCATTACTGAGCCGGAGCCCAGGCTAACTTTACAGCAAAGGTAGTGTGTTATTTTACAAATAAGCTACGTTAACTAGCAAGGGTAAAGGACCATGGTAGCAGCCTTGGGAGGGGGCAGTGTCCCTGGCTTGTAGCAATAGTATAACTGGCTTCCTTTCTCTTCTCAGGCCTCAGAGAGAAATCCCTGGATGGTCTTCTTAGCTGACAGGTTGGGGTAGGAGGTTGGGCAGGTAATGAGGTGAAGCACAGAGTAGGGATTTCAGAAGCCTCTCCCCATCCCCTAGGGCAGCTGGTACCCGCACTCCTCATTTTCATACAGAGATACAAAGCTAAAGCGCCACGCCCTCCCCCATGCTCAGATGCCAGGATTGGGACTCTTCTAGCATAGAGGGCATTCTCTTTGGGCTGCTTGCAACCATACAGAAAGCTGATCCTCTGCCTTGGGAGTATCTTGGGCCCAACAGCTCTTTAGTCCTGGCATTTAGATTCTAGAGTTGAGGCTTCCCTTTAGTGCCTCCCGCACACTGAAGTGTTCAGCTTCTTAGTTGAATAGCCATCACCTCCCGGGGCTGGAGCTGCAGTTGCCCCACCCCTGTGGAAGAAGGGGAAATACAGTGTACCTTAAGAGAGGGAAACAGGATTTTTCTTTTTAAGTGCTACAGTCACAGGACACTGCTGGGGATGGGAGCGCACAGCCTAAGTAGTAGGTTCTCCTAGATTTCCTCAGATGGAGTGTCTCCCTCCTCATGTTCCTCTTATCTCCCCTCTTCCTGGTCCTGTCAGCAGCACAGGGTTTGTCAGAAACCTCATTGGAAGCCTCTTTATTTCTGAAGAGCAGCTTCCACCCCTCCCTTTCCTGTCATCAAACCTGAAAGCCTTAGTCAGGTATCTCACTTCCATGTTGAAACCAGGATCACTGGCTGTAAGTCTGGGAATCTGGGGAGTCCTACCCCCAAACCAGAGCAAGATATCTGCCCCCATGCTAAGCTCTCTGAATACTTTCTTTCTGTACATTCAGTATATTTGGTCCTATATACATCTATATACATCTCTCTACATATATATATATATATATATATATATATAATCTGTTTCTCTTTCTTAGATAAACCTTTCATTTATATATCATAGCTTAATTCCCTGAGCCTCCACCTACCCCTTACCTGCTAGCCCAAGTAACACTCAAGGGTTTCATTGATTTCACCAGATCCCGCAGCACCACCCTTCCTCATCTGCATACCCTGAGTATCCTCCCCCATCAGTTGTGTTGCCTGTCCTCTGAAATCTCCTCCCTTAAGATCTGTGCCCAGTGCTCTCCTGAATTCCAAGTCCATGGTTGGTGTGGTCAGGGATCCCATTTCTCATCAGACCTGGCTGCTTCGAAAGCTTGCCTGATAGCCTGAAAGATGATTTCAGCTCAGAGGAGAGGGGGGCTGTAGTCTAAAGGACCACTTAGGGTTGAGGGAGGGGGCATTGCTCTCTGATGGGGCTTATGGGAGAATAAGCCAGGTTGTATTAAGAGGAGAGTATGATTTAAAGTGCAATTTAAAGGAAAGTGTGGAATCATGCAGGAGAATCAAAAAGGTTAAGTCAGAAAGTGTTCTCATTTTGTTATCCAAGAATCTGAGGATTCTGGAGGCTTGGAATAGACAGCAGGGGAATGGGAAGAGAGTGTTTCCCTCAGGAGGGAAGCAGCTCTGTGCAGAAGAAACTTGATGGAGGATAACTTGCTAATGGATAAGAAGATACACACACACACACACACACACACACACACACACACACACACACACACGTTGAAAGAAATCAAGTGAGTCTAACATTTGAATAAAGTTGAGAGCCCAGAAGCTGGCTCTTTGCCTTCTGTTCTCTGTCTCAGATTTTCAAGTTGTTCCGGTTCTTGTTTTCTTGAGAGCTAGGTAGTAATGGTGGGGTTTACAGTAAGTAGGGAATGAAGGGTCTTCATCTTCAAGATATAGTTAGTTGAGTTCAAGGAGAGATCAATATAAGAGGATCTTGTGCAGTTGTATAAATGGTGACCATGGGTCCAGCCTCCAAATTTCGTGGGTTTCTCTGTGAGGCTCTGCACACAGATGCAGGTACTCATTCTGGATAAATGTGTAGCTTATAACAACTGGCTGGTCCACCTTAAAGAAACGGCCACTTGATTCATACAGGGACTCTGTGCCAAACCATTTGGGGTGGGGGAGAGTGTCCCTTGGTACCTAAATGAGAACAGGAAGCACTCTTGGGATTTGGAGCTTTAGAGCAAGTTCTGGTGCCCATACACCCTTCCTGACCCCATACCACAGTCCCCATCAGGGAACAAGGAGTGGCCTGAGTCTGATCTCGTAAAGTATGCCTTTTAACTTGCCTGAAACTGGCTTCATAGCAGAGGAGAGGAGAGATGAGACTGATATTCATTTTATACTGTCTCAGGAATGGCTGAGGGAGACCATGGTTATTTGATCAGGAGGTATAATTTCCTTCCCTCCCAGCACTGCCTAACAAAATAGCTGGCACTTTTCAGAAGGGCACTGGGAGGGGTAACAGGGTGAATAGTGTCTGCCAGCCACAGAGTCCTGCCTCTGCCCAAACCTTAACAAAGCACTGCCAATTCCCAGAAGCTCTATACAGCAGTCTGGAAATCGGAGAATGTACTCATCCCATTTGGTTGGTTTAACTTTCCTGGGGACTCTGTGCCCTGTGTGTCTAGTTTTAGTGGTAAGAGAGGAAGGCCCTTGCATTTCCTCCCCCTTCCCCCGAAGTTGGGTTTAGGTGAGAGTGGACTGGGCAGGAAAGAATCAGAGAAGCCAGGGACAGTGTAATCTGGAACACCATTTCCAGACCTTTCTGTGGGGCCTGGGCGTTGGACTTTTTCCAGGGGAACGTATTGGGGAAGGTCATTACTTTCATGGGACACAGGGAAACAGATGCCCCCAGGGCTGCCTGAAGGCCAGGTTCAAGGTTTTAGACAATAGCTCTGTATTAGTCGCCCCACAATGAAGAGTTCAGTATTCAGGTCAGGAGCAGGTGTGGTGGCTGTGCCTGTGTGCTTTATATCTCCCGGGTCAACTTCAGTTCTCTGGGAGCAGAGGCATCTATGTGGGAACTGGGTATCCTAAGAAAGTGTCCACTTGAGAAACTAGAAAGAGGAGAACAATGGGGACCAAGGTCCCAGGTTATAGTCAGGAGTTGCCAACAGAAATTAACTACACCATGAAAAACCCTGGCTTCTTTCAACAGGTTTTGGTAGAGACTTCAGAATAAAATGATTCTGGACTCCTATATTTCTGAGGGCACAAACCCCAAAGGGACCATCAGAGAGAGAGTCTTGCCTTAGGGAACTTGCTAAGTGGAAAGATAGGGAGGGGACTCCAGCCTTAAAGCACCAAACTTTCTGGTGGTGGTGGTGAGAGGTGGCGGGGTGGGGGGAGCCTATCCATCCAACTGCATGGTCCTCCTAATGTGAGTCTCCAGGCATGGCTGAGGCCTTCTAAGCCACTTCAGCCTAATCTTCCCTCTCCTTCCCCCATCCTGGCTTAAGGGACGTGTGCATCTTGGGGTGGAAGTGCGGTGAGGTGAAGGGAACAACGGGAGGAAGTCCAGTTGGCCTAGACTACTACAGGCCAGCTGGGTTAAAGAAGAGGGAGTGGAGAAGGGTGCTTCTGGGGCTGTCCAGTAAGCCTGGGTAATATCCCTCACCCAGGATGCCAAAAGAGGAAAAGAGACCAGAAGTACGGGGAGGTGGGGAACCAAGCCATCAGACATTGCTGATGCGCACACTAATGGCACTGCCCTCCTTCTCATCCTGCTCCCTTAATGACTCCTCCAACTTGAGCTTTTCAGGGTCTCTGTAGCGTACACTGGTGTCGCGGAGGCCACTCGGAGAGGCTACTTTCACAACTTGGTCAAAAAGGCTAAAGTCTGCTATGTATTTGCCACTGGCTGACAGCGAGATGGCGGGCGTGAACTCGTAGCCCCAAAGGATCTCCTCCGGCAGATAGGAAGTGCGCACCTGGCAGGTGGCGCTGGTGGATTCCACTGTCCCACTTAGGATCAGCACCAGCTCGAAGTCTCCCTCACCACTGCGGAGGGGCAGGTCTTTCAAGGGACTGGTCTCATCCACCACGTGGTAGAAGGTAAGGGGCAGGATGAGGAAGGGGCTGTCAGAAGCCGTGTCCACTTGGAAAGTCACATTGACCTGGTTGAGCCGGATGTTCTCACCCTCCTTTGTCTGGTGGGTCTGAAGCAGTTTGCCTGTCACCTGGCAGCCAATGAGGAGGCTCTTACGCATGTTGGCGACTCGGATCATAAGACAGGGCTTTCCATTGTGTGCAGCTACAACCGCATGCTGGCTGAAACGGATGGTCTCCGCCCGCTTCTTGGGCCGGGCAATCTTTGCCAGGAAGGTACCCGTGATGAAGATTTCCAGGATGGTGGTGAGCACCAGCTGGGCAATAAGAAGCACGATGGCCAGTGGGCACTCCTCACTGATGTAGCGGAAGCCATAGCCAATGGTGGTCTGGGACTCGAGGGAGAAGAGGAAGGCCCCGGTGAGCGTGTGCACCTGTACCACACAGGGGGTATGGTTGGCTGGGGGTCCCAGCTCCAGCAGGTCCCCATGGGCTACAGCTACCAGATACCACACCACACCAAAGAGGAACCAGGTGCCTGCAAAGGTTGCAGAGAAAAGCAGAAGCTTGTAGCGCCACTGCATGTCAATGAAGGTTGTCCACAGGTCCTTGAGGTAGAGGAAGCGCTTGTCAGCAATGTGCTCCATTCTCACATTGCTGCGGCCATCTTTTGTCAGGACTCTCCTCCGTCGTATCCCTGGGCCCATTAGGGGCCGGCTTTCTGTCTGAGTGGTTTGGCTGTAATACACCTTGGCAACCGACGTCATCTGCAGAGAGCAAGACAGCATAATGAGCGGTATTGCAAAAATCCAGCAACTCCCAGCCACCACCCAATGGGAAGGAAGAAGAAACATTCATTTTAGTGCCACTGATTTGTCCTCTTATTAGCAAATGTTTACTGAGCACTTGCTATATGCCAGGCACTGTAGTGCAAGATGCTGGAAGGTCAAAGATGAATCTGACGGCATCCTTGCTCGCCAAGAACTCACAGCATAGTGAGAAAGATTCATGTTCAGTAAGCAAACAATTGCAGTACAGTCTGACATTTGTAATTCTTAGGAGAAGCAGAGAAGAAAGAGTAATAAGCTCACAGTTCCTTGAAGGTGGGAGTGAGACTAAAGAGGGCTCTACTGGTCTCCATTCACCACAAAACCAGTTCCGTGAAGATCTCTAATTCTGAAATAGGATCCCTCCCCACCCTCAAGAATGGCAGCAGCAAGAAAGACTATCCTGTTGAACTCCTTCCAAGCCAGTCCCCCTTAACACACACATGCCCTTAATTTCTCCGTTCTCTCCCCTACTTCCACGTCAGTACTCACTGGTGATACAAAGATATTCGCCTGGCTCAGAAGATAGCAGAAACTGCCCATTCTTCTACCCCTTAAGATGTTCTCTAAGCACCCTGCCCATTTCGCTATTAGTATTATCATTGTCATTATCATTATTATTGTCATCATCTATTTGCATCTTCTGGGGAAATTAGGTCCGGGTTAGGGTCTGGGGTGGTGTTGGGAAGAGCACAGACAGAACTGAGCAAAAATAAACAAGTGATGGTGGGGGCTTCCCTGGTGGCACAGTGGTTAAGAATCTGCCAATGCAGGGGACACGGGTTCGAGCCCTGGTCCGGGAAGATCCCACGTGCCACAGAGCAACTAAGCCCATGTGCCACAACTACTGAGCCTGCGCTCTGGAGCCCGCGAGCCACAACTACTGAAGCCCGCGCGCCTAGAGCCCGTGCTCAGCAACAAGAGAAGCCACTGCAATGAGAAGCCCGCGCACCACAGTGAAGAGTAGTCCCTGCTCTCCGCAACTAGAGAAAGCCCGTGCGCAGCAATGAAGACCCAATGCAGCCAAAAATAAATAAATAAATTTATTAAATAAATAAATAAACAAGCGATGGTGGAGGAAAAACATCAAACTGAAGCCTCCTGGCAGCACAGGAACATTTTCCCAAGGACTGGGAGAAATGCCAGGTTGTAGGTGGCAAAATTGTCTTGACTGAGTGAAGTAGAAGAGGTAGGAGTGTATGTTAGTTTGTGGCTATGTCTGCACAAGTTCAAATTCAGGATTGCTATTTACTCTGATAGTAGAAAGTGGGACAAGGCTCTGAAATAGGAGACAACTCACTTAATACAAAGTGCCTGGCACCCCTGCCCAAGGAATAACTTGTACTTTTCCATCAGAGAAAGAATTGCAATCACTTGAGCCCTTGGACTCTGGATCTGATGGCCAGACCTTCTGAGAAGGAGCAGGTGACCTCTGGGGAATTTTAGTTCTTCTTGGAGAACACAGAGTGGCTCATCACGTTCTCCATTCTGAGAAGTCTATACCACTGCATTTTATCATTCTCCTTCACCCTGCCCTTATTCTGTATTCCCATGGCCTTACCCCTGGGAAACTCTAAATTATTTGGGTCCATTCATATATCCACCCAAGCAGACACTAAATTGGAAATCACCAACAGATGAGAATCCCAGAATATTCAGAGGCAACCTGGAGCCCATTTTACACCACCCACTTGGAACTTCCATACACATGAGACTTCTTGGCCAGAACTGGATGCCATCCACTTCCCAATATCCTTGGCTACTTTCAAGCAAGAGGGAGGCTTTGTAATTCTGAAGTTTGAAGAATTCTTATTTAGAGCCCAAGTGAAGCCCCATTCAGTACTCAATAGTAGTAATATTAATAAAAGAAACAACCACCACAAAGCTTGCATCTATGTACCATTCAAAGTTTACACATTAGCATGCCTTCTCCTTTGACCCTCAAACTCGCGAAAAGATGTGAAACCTCTACAGGAGATTTTGAGGAACAGGGGAATCTAAAACAGATTCTAGAGAACAAAGGAAGTGCTGGAAAGTTGTGGATAAGTGAGCATAATTTTAATTTTCAAAAAGAAAAATGAAGTACATTTCACAAACTACAGACAAACAGATAAGGTATCAACCACAGGCAAGATTCTAGAATGGAACATTAAGAAAGTGAATTCTTGGGCAGAGTGGGGGAAAGGTAGTTATCAGTAGGACCCAGTCTGGGGTTACTAGGAACAAGTAACATCACATCACGCTAACTTAATTTCCTTTTATGACAAGGTTACTAAATTGGCAGATCAGAGAAATGCAACAGAGAAAGTGCATCTAAGCAAGATTTTGACAAGATCTCAAGTTAGGTCCTTGGGGATACGACAGAGAAAAATGAACAGAATGCTTCTCTAATTGGGTGACTTAAAAAATCAGGGCTTCCCTGGTGGCGCAGTGGTTGAGAGTCCGCCTGCCGATGCAGGGGACACGGGTTCGTGCCCCGGTCCAGGAGAATCCCACATTCCGTGGTGCGGCTGGGCCCGTGAGCCATGGCCACTGAGCCTGCGCGTCCGGAGCCTGTGCTCCACAACGGGAGAGGCCGCAACGGTGAGAGGCCCGCGTACCGCAAAAAAATAAATAAATAAAAATAAAAAATCACTGTTGCTGGTGAGCGGATCATGATAGCCTGGAATCAGTTTTCTAGCAATGTACCACAGAGCATTATCTTTGGCCTTGCCCTAGTCGATGGTCTTAACACTAATTTTATTCAAAAATATGGAACACATGGCCATCAGTTATGCAGATGACACAGAGCTGGGACGGACTGCAAATGAAAGGTCTGAGGCAGAATTAGGATCCAAAAGGAGCAGAGGAGTGGGCCAAATCGAGCAAAAAGGATAAATGTTTGATTACATTTGGGTCCAAAAATTACCTGAGCAAGTTCTGCATTGGAAAGATGTGATCTCGTAAGCAGAACCATGAAAATGAAATTAGGCATTTTAACAGAAAGTAATCCAGTGTGAGTTATCTACATGTTTTGGTTGCCAAAAAAAGCAATGCAATCTTAAGCTGCTTTAGTTGAATTAAAGTATCTAGAATAAAATAAGGATTCAGTTGATTCTGCTCTGTTGATCCCACATCTGCAGTATTGAGTCTCAAGGAGCAATCAGGACATGAAAGGATTCAGAACCAAATCATATGAGACGTGTTTGAAGGAAACGGGGAACTTTACTTGGGAGGAGAGACGATCTGAGGGATATGAAGGCTATGTGAGAATATTTGGTTTGAAGGGCTGCCATGTGAACAAAGGTTTGGATTTGTTCTTTGAGCTCCAAGGGGAACAACCAGGACCAGTGAGCTCAAACCACTGAGAAAAAGATTCCAGACTGATATGAAGAACATTGTAACAAATGTAGAAAGAGCATCTCAAAAGGTAGAAAGTACCCTGTCCCCAGTGGTGTTCAAGGACAGGTTGGACGAGCGCTTTGCAGAGATTCTAGAGAGGAGATTAAAGTTTTGGGTGGGAAGGTTAAAGATTGTTTTTAAGTTTCCAGCTACATTCATAGAGGATCAAGATGCCTGCCTCCTCCCCATCTCTACCCCGCCCCTTCTACCATGACATCCAGAGATCCCACATCAAAGCCCTAGCTTTGTTTGTGCCGAAGAGAGACTCTATATCTGGGGAAATGGAAGCTCTTGGGGCCCAAGGAAAGTCTTGCTTATCGTTCCCAAGATAATAGTCTATGATTATATATCATTTTACAGTTTATGAAACATGTAATTTGACCCCCACACCATGAGGTAAGTAGGAAAGGCATCATTAGAAACTAAGGTTCAGAGAGATTTGCTCCAAGTAGTTTTGGAACCAGAACCCAGGTCTTCTGGCTTCTGATCCAGAACTTTTAAATTGTAGCAACTGCTTCTGTGCATCCCAGGTTCATTCTCACAGTCTCTTGTTTTCAGGAGGTGCCTCTGTGGTCCCCTGTATAGAGGATCACAGCTGAGACAGAGAAGACAGAGCCCGGAGCTTCCAGAGCCCAGCGTTAAGGCTACAGATTCGGGGCACTGGAGATTTTGGTACTGGCTAGACCTCTTTGTTGTGATTGCCACCTCCAGCTGTGTGCCTGCTGTTGCCAGCCTTTGTATCTGCCTCCTCCAGCTATTATCTGCTGCACCTCCCAGAGCCAGGCAGCTTTGTTCTCCCCGGTAGTGAGAGTCAGCAGCAGATAAACAATCAGCCACACTCCACCCCCCCGGGCCCCTGGGAAGGGAGCAGGCCCGAGTTCTGGAAATGGTTTGTTGCTGCCCCACCTGAAACACACAAACTCTCTCCTCTAGAGGGTGCTGTTTCCCCCAAAACAGTCCCAGCCAGATACCAGGGACAGGAGCTGAAGAATTCTGAAAACAAAAGCAGCCTCTGAGTGGTCAGAAGAGAAACAGACACAATCACCTTCTTTCTCCTCTAAAAATTAAACTAACGAGTCCCTAAAACAAAGGCCAGTCACACCTACAGTGATGTCCAGCAGGTTCCCTCAGCAAATACCTCTCCCTCCTTCTGCTTCCTGCCTGCAGACTGACCTAGAGCTTTCTTTACCTGAGTCATTTGTTCTCCAGAATGAATGGATTTATCAGAGCCCTTCTTGAGTACAGGACTGCTCTGCAGTACAGACACTCCTCTTGTGAGTAAAACTGATCCCCGGCTCCCCACTGCTCTGAGCATGGCACTCAAGGCCCTTCATGATTTGGTCTCTGCCTCCTTCTTGGCTTTGGTCTTGCCACTCTTCCACACGTATCGTAGACTCCAGCTCCACAAAGCACCTCGCTGTTCATCCCTTCTACCTTTGGACCCGCTTTTGCACTGGACCCGCTCCGTGCCCACCTGATGACCTCCAGCTTATCTTTCAAAACTCACTCAAGTGTTAGCTGCCCCTTTGGAAGCCTCCCTGACCCTCGAAGAAACAGCTCATCTCCTCTACCTCCCCGCCCCCAGCATGGGTTTACTAAGCATGGTTTGTACACATTCCTATTTTCAAACATCGTCGTGCTTTGCAATGGTTTGTTTACCACTGTTTGCCATCTGTGAGTTCTCAATTTAAGCCCACAGACTGTGAACGTCACCTGTTTCCCCAGTACCAAGTGCAGTTTGTTAAGAAAGTCTGAGTAAAGGGATGACTGGAAGCCTGATTTAGAGAGACAGAGGCCTGAGTCAGAGCTGCAGCCTTGGTCTGCCTCACGGACTC